ACTAGGACACAGTCCCCTAGTAGATAGCCTACCATGCTCCCTGCCTGTTAAAGAGGAGTAATTAACAGCGTCACCTGTGGTACTGTAGCATCACCACAGCGAGCAGAAGTCCATCTTGCCTTCGTGTGCATTCCCACAGTGATGTGCGGTCCTGTGGAGTAGGAGAGGCAGGCTGTGATGCACACTGAGATCATCTGTAGAACAGCCAACATGGAGAGAGCTCTTCTCTGGGCCAAGCACTATCTACGTGCCCCTCCGTGCATCAACACGTTTAATGGTTTTAACAAGTTTATGAGGCACATCCAGCCTCATCTTACAGAGGAGATAATTAATGCACAGAGAGACTGACTAACTTGCTCACAGTCACAGAGCCAGTAAATGCCAAAGCTGGGGAATTCGTGACCAGACATTCTGATTCTTGAATTCATGCTTTTAATCACTATATTAGTTTCCTGTGGCTGCTGTAACAAACTAGGTAGCCTACACAACAGAAATGTATTGTCCCACAGTTCTGGAGGCCAGAAGTCCCAAAGAAAAGTGTCAGCAGAGTTGGTTCCTTCTGAGGGCCATCATCTCCGTGTATCTTCAGATTATCTTCCCTCTATACGTGTCTTTATGTCCAAATCTCCTCTTTTAATAAGGACACCAGTCATATTGAATTAGAGCCCATATTAATGACCTCATTTTACCTTGATTACATCTGTAAAGATGCTATCTCCAAATAAGATCACAGTCTGAGGTATTAGGAGTTAGGACTTCAACATCAGTTTTGGGGGAACACAATACAATTCATAACAACCACTGTCCCGTACTGGCTCTCACAAATGAAAAATGAAGTCACCAGCTCTGAAACATACCCCCATCACTAGTTCTGCTCTTATTTCATTACAGCCTAAGCTATTGCAAAACCATCAGATCAGGCAGTAGCATTCCGTGGATCTGTTGTGAATCAAATCCTGGCTCTCACACTGTGGGACTTTGGGGAAATTTTTCATCTTCTGAGAACCTCTTTTTCCTCTTCTGATGAGAAAATATAGTCCCTACCTCATAGGGCAGTGGGAGGATGAAATGAGAGAGCCCAAGTAAAGCAGAGTGCCCATAAAGGCTCCTTAACATCTGGCCCCGTCCTTAGCCACTGCTGCCTCCCTCTTTCTGCCATGGCACACTCTGCTCGCATTCTTTGCTGACCTCTTCCTGAGCAGTTCTGGAGCTCGCCATTGGACAGGGGCCCTCCCCAGTAACCAAAGCCTTGATTTCCCACAGCATTTCCTCGTTATCTTATCCCTCCCTTTTTACCATCAGTGGGAATTAGGACTTTCCCAGGAATTGGTCTTGGGGAAGCAAGGTGACAGCAGGTCTAGGCACAGCTAGGGCTGAGCAAACCAAGGACTTGCATCAGGTTGCAAGTTGTCCCAATTACAGGATCCAGAAAGGCAGAGAAAACTCAGACTTGACTCAAGCCAGTGTCTGTATCCAAAGGGATATAATTGCTCTGAATTTTCTGGGCTCCTCATTTGATCCTTTAAAATCCTGTGTGATTGACAAACCAGATATTGTCACTTTCAACCTAGAGAGAGTGTGAGTGACTTGTCCAGAGCCAGGACAAATGCAACGGCAATGTCAATGACAGTACAAATGCCAGGGGAATGGAGCCAGAGGGCACCACTCAGCTCAGTTCAGTTGGTTCAACAAACATTTACTGAGAATCAAGTAATCATTAGACCCAGTGCCAAGCAACAAGGGCACAGAAGTAGAAGCAGAGACGTGGCTTTCCCTGCTCTCTGAGCCCTCACGGTACCAGGGCAGATGTGTGCACATCGCAGAAGGGAAGTTTGCACATAGTTCCATGGAAGTCCTGGAGAGGGAGTGGCCAACCCAGTCAGGGGCTCAGGGGAACCACTGGCATGGTGGTGGAAATGTGAGGCAGAATGTGGAAGAGGGAAATGGAAACAATGGTGTGGGCAGGCTCTGTGGCACAGGAAAGAGCCATAGAATCTTGATAAATGATTCATTTCTACTAACTGGAGGGCAACTGTGGGAAGGGAAGCGTGCCAGCAGAACCGAAGCTGCACAAGGAGGCAGCGGCTAGATGATGAGGGGCTTGGAACTATTTTATGCCCAATGTGAACACTGTCTCATGAGGAACAGGAGGCGTTTAAGTGTTTTGAACAGAGAAAAGACAAAATCGGCTTGGGATTTGAAAAACCCACTGTGGAGGATGAACTAGGCCAGCGGTTCTCAACCTTTACTATTAGCAGAATGACCGGGTTTATTCAAACACAGATCGCCAGGCCCACTCTGAGAGTCTGATTCAGTATGTCTGCAATAGAAACCGAGAATTTGCATTTCAACTAGTTTCCAGCTGCTGCCGCTGGTCCAGCCATCTTGCTTTGAAAGCCACTGCATAAGAAGGTGGTAATTCTGATGTAGGGAGGCCAGGAGAGAGGCCCGCCCCGTCTCGAGGAGGCTGAGAGAGAGGGCCTGAGCTCAGGCAGTGTGGGCGGGGTGCAGAGGTGAGGCTGGGTCTCAGAGACTTCAAAAAGTAGAGTCTAGTGTCCAGCTAAATATGATGAGGGGGAAGGAGCTGAGGGCCCCCCAGGTTTCTGGCTTTTGTGATGATGTAGATCAGGGCAAGCACCTAGCAGTGGATGGTGGGTGGTGGGGAGGAAGGTCGGAGGGGCAAAACAGGCAAAACCATGACAGGCTTCAAACATCCCATGTTGGAGATGTCTTCCGTAGAAATGGGTGAAGCTCTCTAATTTGGAGCTCAGGGAAAGGGTCTGCACTGGAGAGTAGCTTGGTTTAATAGCCAACGTAGTGACTCATTTCTGTAGCATTTATATGATCAGCAGGCAACTGATTAGAAAATTTCAGTCTGTTACTGCTTTAGAATAATTTGATAAATTACCAATACCTCTTAGCATGGGTTTTAAACACCAACTGTTCGTAAATATTCTAGAAAAGTGCGAAATAAGATACTCTAAATTTTGCATTAATTTCTAATGACTTAAAATATTACTTAAGGGGCCAGACCCGTGGCCTAGTAATTAAGTTCGGTGCGCTCCGCTGTGGCAGCCCCGGTTCATGGGTTCGGATCCCAGATGCAGACCTACACTACTCATCCATCATGCTGTAGCAATGACCCACATATAAAATAGAGAAAGACTGGTACAGATGTTTGCTCAGAGCTAATCTTCCTCAGGAAAAAAAAAACTTAAAATATTACTTATTACCAAATAAATGTGAAATATCCACAGTGTGGTCTGTTTTATGCATCCAGGCTTTATCTTAGGGGATAAACTAGGTCATTTACTTTAAGCACCACAGTGGGAAATGTATAATTTGTATTTTATTATTTTATTAATACTTTTATTCTCCATATACTAATTTAAAAGGGATTTCAGTAAACTGATTATGATTTCTGTTATGGACTGAAGGTTTGTGTCCTTCCAAAATCCATCTGCTGAAGCCCTAACCCCCAGTGTAATGGTATGTAGAGGTGAGGACACTGGGAGGTAATTAGGTGCAGATGAGTCAAGAGAGTGGAGCCCCCATTATGGGATCAGTGTTCTTATAAAGAGAGGAAGAAACACAAAGTCTCTCTCTCTCTCTCTCTTCCCACTCCTTCCCCACAACCATACCAGCACCCCGATCTCAGCCCTCCAGCCTCCAGAACTCTGACAAATAAATTTCTGTTGTTTAAGCCTCCCAGTCTATGATATTCCATTATGGCAGCCCAAACAGACTAAGACAGCTCCCTACTGGGTGGTCTGACAATTGTCACATGTCCATCATGGTCTAAGGCTCTTCCTGCCTAATCCTGCCTGCTCCCCTCTTTCCTTTCACAGGTAACAGATCTGCATTGCAATCTGGAGGTTTCCCTGCCAAGGAAACCTGCACAAGTTGTACCTCCCAATAACCTAACCGTACTTCTCACACCAGTCCTTAAAACACTTCAGTGGCTTTCGGTTAGGATGATGATCAAATCCTTAACGTGTGCCATAAAGCACGGAGGGTCTGGCATTCCCTCCTCTCCAGCCTCATCGGCCACGGAACTGGCCCTCCGTTCTCCCTCTCTCCCCATCCCTGTCTCTCTGCGCTCCAACCCCACCGCCCTCACTCCACGATGTAATATGTACCGCGCAGGCTTTGCGCACGCGCCCTCCTCTCCTGGACCGCTCTGCTTCCTGTCACTCCTCCTCCAGCGGCAGTAAGAGCACCGTTCTTACTTTACAGCTCAGCTAAATTATCCTGCCTCGAGAAAGCTTACCTTACTTCCCTGATGAAGCAGTTTCTCCTATTATTTATTCTTATTAAACTGTGTACCTCTTCTTAGAAATATCCCCGTTGTTACTTTTACATTTATCATTACAAAAGATCTGATGAGTATCTGTCTCTCCTACTAAGTCATCAGCTCCATGAGGGCCAGAACCACAACAGACCTGTTGATGCCGCTTGCTCCCGTGTTATCGCCAACAGGAGGTGCAATACCTGCTCCAAGTAGACTCTCACAAAGCGTTTGTTGGATAAATGAATGAATAAAGCTTGTAAGATAAACATGAAAAAGCCAGATTCTCCCACCCCAAGTTTCATGATTAAAAGATGAGAAAATGCTAGTTTTCTTTCTTTGCTTTTTGCAAGTCTTTTCCCAGTTTCTCTTCCAAGAATCAGTTAATACAACTACAGCATATGAGAGCTGAACTCAGACGCAGCCCTAAATCAAGAGCAGGATTTGTAAACATTTAACCCAGGACACTATGCCAAAGAGCGTATGTTGGAGAGAATTGTAGCCATGTGGCATGGAGCTGGGGAGAGTTTCTTTGCGGGTTTTAATTGAATTGGGGGTTGTAGGCCCTTGCTGGGAGGCCCCCCGCAAAAAACAGAAATGTTTTTTAAACCTCTAGAAAACGTCCATGTTTGAAGCAGCTCTCAACTTTCACCCCCTCCTACAGCAAAGTTCAAAAGTTGAAAGTTCCTCTTGCTTAACTCCCCAAACTCACCTCCGTGGTAGGCTGGGCTTTTCTTTCCAGGATGGTGGCTAAATAGATCAGCCCTTGAGTTAAACTTCTAATCCTCAGTTCAGCAGTGTTGAACCCATAAATCCTCAAGGGAGCATCAGCAGTTCAGAACGAATGAGCAGTTTCAACAGGAATGCATTTCTTCCTTCAGTCTCAGTCAGGAATCAAATGCCTAACAGCAGCAAAGCTGGTGAGGACCATACACAGCTTCCATCCTGTGACCTGCACATCTCTTCAACACATGAGAAGTGTGTGATGTGAAGAAAAGGATAAAACTATAAAGATCTTCATGGCTCTATGCCCCTAATAATAAGTTCCATGCAGGCAAATATTTTTACCTGTGTTATCCATAGCTAAAACAGTTCCTGGCACATAACTCAATAAATATTTCTTGAATGATGAATGAGTGAGTGAATTGAAAACTTAGTAAGTTCCAGACATTTTTCTAAGCACTTTACATGTGGCAAATCATTTCATCCTAACAACCACTTTGTAAGGTGATGGCTATTGCTATGCCTGTTTGCGGATGAAGAAACCATAGAGATTAAACAACTAGTGCAAGGCCGTTGAGCTTGACAGTCACTTTTCAGGGTAGCCTTAACCCTACACTAGTCAGACCATGAAGCCAACACTCTCCCAATTCACACTCATGTCCCTGCATGCCCACACTTTCAATGACAAACTCCAGCCTCAAGTCTATATTGCTATGCCATATTGCCACTCAACCCTATACATGTTTGCAGATTTCTAGGCTTGGGATATACTAGTCTGGTATGTCCAACTATCACCTCAGTTCTAAGAGAATTTGTCTGCTAATGTATTTTCTACACTAAGCTGAGTTCCTAATCTGTGAAGAATATCTATTAAGTAGAGCAAGTAATTGGTAGGAGCAATAAGACTTGAGACTGAAGGAGAAGTTGTACTTTGCTAATGTATATTTTGCAGATATAGCTGGCTTCACCAGCTTGTGACTACGAAATGAGATCACACTTCTTTTTAATACCTATGTAATTATGGCAAAGCCCCTGGGTCTACATGTCCACCTGGGTATGGCCTCCTGACTTCTTGCAGCCACAAGAAGTTGCCTTTGCTTGTTGCCTCTGCTCTTCGGGACACAGCATCTTCCAAAGATAAACATCCTGATACCCTAAACTATCTTGAAGAAGGAATTCTGCCCTCCTAATCTCCCCAGTGCAAATGACAGCAACTGTGACCTCTAACAAGAATGCATGGAAGGTTTACTGTTAGCAGAAAGACAGCACCGTGTGTCACAGTCGCTCCTAGAATCAGGCACTCTCAGATTCATAGGTCCCAACCAGACTTCAGCATCCCCGCCCAGCCTCCCCAGCCCAGGTCACCCACCTGGGGGAAGCCATGTCTATCTCCATCAGTGGGAAGCTTGGTGGCTTCAAACCTCTGAATGCAGACTTGACTTCCTCAGAGTCCCAGAGAGCATTACCTCTCCAGTCCCAGGCTCACCTCAGTGAGAGTAGCCACGGCTATTTCCTTCAGGTGTATCCCATGTCCCAGCCTCTAGGGTCTAACCCCAAAGACCTAAACCAAATGATGGCAATAATTCACAGAGCAATATCCAAGTCTGGCTCATTCCGTTTTAAAGAACACTATGTGTGGGAATCTAGCAGCCCAATTCCAGAAATCCTGCGGCCAGTTCAGTTTCATTGTCTTCTGTCCCACAAAAGGCAAGAGAACGTCAAGCCTGCTTGTCCCTCATGCCATTGTCCAGTTTTCCAATTTGCATCTAAGGCTTGGGGAAGAACTAACAGACACACACACATACCCTCTAAGAACAAGCAATAATTTTTCAGGTGTAGAGTACTTTAAATTGTGATTCAAGGGGAAAAAAGAACATTGTCCATGATTCTGCGAGAACACAATCTTAGTAAAGTCTATAATTTACATGACTCAGCAGAACACTGACCAGCCCAGCGTGACGCACCTACCTTTATGTTATGCCACAGCAATCAAGGCTGTGCCAGATATCGCCCATCTGCCCTTCCAAACCCATTTGACCACCACTCACCTTGCTGTCTGCTTGCCCTCTGATCTGTTGGGAGTACAATGCCCTCCAAATTCCAGTTAGGCTTGGCCAGTGAGCAGTGCTGATGGGAGATCGGGAAGAGAATTAGAATATTTATTCCTCCAGCTCAGTCTCTGTAGGGTCCCCTGGAGCTGGCTATGTCCCTCCATCCTCCAAAGGCCATCCTGTCTACATGATTCTCCCAGGCCCCTGTAACTGCCCCTCTCCTTGTCTTTCTGGGGCCAGAGGTGGGAACAGTTCTGTCGTATTAGCACTGCTTACTGCACTAGTCTTTGGGACTCCCCAACAGCCCCCCCATACATGTGTAAGTAGTCCCTTTATTCAACGCCCCCACTCCTCCAACCCCCACCCCCAAATCATCCTAATTGAGATGTCACTGTGTCCTGGTGGGACACTGACTGACATAAGAGCTTTTCCAAGATAGACCTGCACGACTGAAAGAGCTGGGCAGATTTGAGCAAAGGAAGGGTCTTCTGGGAGTTTCTGAAACTGCTGAATGTTTTAAGTTCCTGTACAGTAGTGTTCCTGAGTCTACTTCTTTTCTCTTCTTCTGTCTCCACCCAACACTCTTCCTCATGCTATAGCCAGGCTTTTGTTCCCAAATACAATAAAGGAAAGTGTCTGAAAGTGAACAATACAAGTCTTGGCACCTATAGGCAAAATATATTCTTATACTTGTTTTCATGTGATCTGAAAAAGAAACAACAGGACAAGAAGAGGAATATTATTACGAGCTGGCAACCTCCAGCCTGGTCTTTCTAGGCTAACGTTTATGACTTACTGCTTTAGAGTCTATTTTATAGAATATGTTGGCTACAGGCATAATTTTTCCTTTATAACCACTTGCTTTTTATATATTATTAAACATTTAACCCTGGACTGAGGTTCTATTGCATTTTTAAATTTTAATATTTCTCAAATGATTTGAAAATGTCCATTTAGAGTAATGTTAAAAGGGCCCAGAGATACTGTAATTATGGTGCTCTTCACTAGGGACTGGCAATTCTGCTTGTCTCATGACATACCCTTTGGGGACTGGGGAGCTGCATGCTACATTGGGGAAACAAAAGAAAATCAAATGTAAACAGTGAGATGGATGCAAAGCAGAAGTTTGGAGGCAGGAAGTGGCAGGGAGGGCTCTCAGCTGCCTGTGTGCCTGGCTCATGGATGCAGAAATGGGTTCAGGCAGTCTGGGGTAACGTGACCTCTGTTGAATATGGGCTGTAATTTTGCATTTCCCCATTCGTCTCTCACTGGGAACAGCATCCTGGTGATGGACGCAGCAGAGAAGAGAAGAAAGCCTTTCTGTTCCCCTCTAGGAGTCTTCTGTTCTCCAGAGAAGGTTCATGCAAGTGCATGTTAGCACCACCCATCGCATTGATTTCCCTCCGCCGGAAAACCATCCACCCACTGTGGTTTGTGCTGAGTGAATTGGGTTCACATGAGAATTGCCTCAGATGTCACAAACACAATTTTTGCCTCAGTTGTTTTCAAGAAGCTGGTATCACCTCACTCACTGATCTGGTTAGCTCAACCCTAGCAGGTCCACTGGGCCCTGCATTGAGCTGAGGGGGCAACGAGGCCTTCAGCCTCACTGCTGCCATGTGAGAGAAGGGAGAAGGAAGGAGCAAGAGAGAAAGTGAAATGCTGAGTTCAGGGGATGAAAAGAGATCCAAAATGTTGTTCATCGTGCCAGATGAGACTGTGGACTCCTTCTGTGTACAGTAGGGAGAAAGGGCCTGCTTCCAAGTAAGAGGAACTAAGTTCAAATCTGGAGTAAGAGGAACTAAGTTCAAATCTGGAATACTGCCTTTACGTAAATGGGTTACTTAAATTCTCCAAACTTCTATATCCTCAGTGGTAAAAGAGAGAAAATATCGACATCTCTAGGCTGATATGAAGAGCAAGATAAGGAATACGCAGGTGCGTGGCACAAAGACCCACAGACAAGGAGCATGCTGTAATTTAATAGAATAATGTTAGAGAATGAATTTTAGTTTCAAAATTCCCTATTTTTCTTATTCCATGAAATGCTTACCATTCTCTCAACAGGCATTTCCTGAACGTTTGGTCTCAGTGAAAGGACTAGAATAGAGCATACTATGTAGACACCAATACAGTTTCAAAGAGTGACATGGGGAGTGTTTTGGCTCTGCTCTCCAGCATGCACCAGGTCTAAAAAAGGATGGAAACATCCTGGGCAAGACTAGAATGACTGAGAAGACGTAGAGGCCCAAACTACAAAATATGAAAAACAGATACAAAATGGAGGCTAATTAGCCTAAAGAAAAGAAGACTCTAGGGGAAATTACTAGGCACCTTCAATGGTAATAATAATGACAATCTGTTATTGAGTAGCTACTATATGCCAGAAACTGTGCTAGGTGTCTTACACACATTTTTCAAATCCTCACAACCACCCTGTAAGTCAGGTTTTATAATCACCATTTCACAGAAGAAGAGACCGAGGGTCAGAGAGAACAGGACCCTGTCTGCCCACAAATCCGTCTCACTCTACCCACTCCCTCCCTTCTGAGAGCCGAATGGCTGCCAGAGAATGGAAAATAGGCCTGTTTCTTTCTGGGTCTGAGACATGTAACTATGAACAATGGGTGGAAATTACAGGAAGACAGATTTCAGTTCGATAGCAGGAAGAACTCTGTAACGCTGGGGTTGTTCGCAGACAGAAGGCGCTGCCCTTGGAGACTAAATTTCCCATCGCGAGAGACATTTGAGACTTACTTGGAAGGGGGATTTTGGAGAGGGGAATGAGTACAATTCAAAAGTACATTTGCATTAGATGACTTCTAAGGTTCCTCTCCACTCACCTAAAATTCACTGTGTGTGAAACAGTCATTTCCCAGAGTCAGAGACTGAGGGACTCCTTTGCTCTCCCCTCTGTGTTCTCCTCTAATGACAGAGCAAAAAGCTCTGTAGTATTTGAGTGCTCTAGAGAAGACCTGCCCTCGTCCACGTCCAGCCCATCCCGTAAATGGAAGGGCTCTCAGTTCAGGAGATCAAAAGAAGCCCTGACACCAACCCCAGCATCTTAGCGTGTGTGATCTCAGCTTGAAAGTCCCCTGAGTCCGCACCCTCCAGAGAAGAACCACATCCAGGCCCTTAATCCTGACAACCATGCATTTGGGTGCAATAATGCAATATCTCACAAAATCTTAGCAAAATAAAATGAAACAAAATATAAAATAACACAACTTCCTTGCAAACAAAGCTTTAAAAAGAAAGCCAGCAAAGGTGTTTTAGACATCTCACAAGGTTCACATTGTATTGCAAAATTATTTTTAATGAAGCTGTTATTATGCTACGAGAATGCAATAAAACATCTGAAACCTGAAATTTCCTATTTTTATCACCTCCTGTAAAATTTTCAAAAAGGCCAAAATGATTTGTTTCAAAATGTGTACAGGAATAATTGGATTGAGAGTTTTCATGCCAACTTTCCATTTGGAATGAAATCTAGAGTCTGTTACTTCATAAACCACTGAAAATATGAACACAAAATGAAAAGGGTAAAATATTATGGACTATAAGAGTAATCAAACATAACATCCCCTGGAAGGAACCCGTGATTCACCATCTCCCAGTGTGTGGTTCAGCACAGGGACCTCTTTTATATGACAAAGTATTCACAAATAATTGGTTTTACCTGAATCCCCTAATTATTTCTGGAAAGAGAAATGCTATACACGTGAACTTCTGTATGTGAACGCACAATGCAACATGCTAATCCTGCACTGGTTAGTTTGTAAGCATAGTATTATTCTGGACTGTTCACAAAGATTAAATACTAGCTCTCAATTTTCTGTTTGCAACACAAATCTGAGTTATTCCTTGTTACAAACTCTGGCAAAAAATGTAATCTTTGGGTGCTAAGCAAATGCACTGTAACACACAAATTGAGTATGAGAAGTTTATTTCAGATTGTGATTTGTTATAACAGTCCTGCCAAATGACCAGAAATTAATCATAGGCCCAGATGTGTAAGCATACAGGAAGACGTTACTAAGCTGGAGTTTCAGATTTAATTTTCAGTTCACACCTTTCTTAAAGCCATTCTTGAAGATCAGTCACTTAGGGAACAGACAAACCCTCTTCAATTGCAAATCAAGTTTCTGTTTTTGGTGGAAGTCCTTTCCAAAACATTTATCTCTGTCAATGTATCCCATGCACGCTCCTTCATGAACAGCTTCCAGAATTAAGTAGAGCAATTCTGTCTACCATCTGGCTCTGTGAGCAAAAAGTTTTTTCTATGCGAAAATATAAAACTGACCTGCCCTCTAGTCTAAACTCATAAGCTTTCCAAGGATACTGTCCATAGCCCCATCCATTCCAAATGGATGGAATCTTAGATGGACCAGTAATCAGAGGTGAAAGGATTGGAATCTTATTTCATATGTTTACTTTAAGTTGTTTTTAAGAACATAGAAACTGGAATCACTTTTTTAAGAGTACCACCATCCCTGGGAATCAGCCCAATATTTACTTTTTACTATGTGACAATTGAGCACATTTTCAGAAATACAGTAGGAAACACTGCATAACAGAAGCGACACGGGTTGTATTTAACTGTTGCAGATGTTGGTGGTTAAAACTACCCAGATTTCACTGGTTGATCTGTAATTAGACCTCCTACCCTTGGTAACAGTTCTAACCACATAGATTTAAGCTAACATATTAGATAAAATTACAGTTGGAAAAAATTTAAAAAGCATAAAAAGTCACTATAACAAGGGTGAGTTTGATCTTTCTTTAATTGTTCTTTTAATCCAATGGCGCCTGTATGTGCAAAGCAAGCGGGGGTTTCAGTCACGGAGTTGTTTTTTCCCTCCACCTTTCTTGGGCCCACCAGAGCAATACACTGCATACTGACAAATACAGTCAAGGCCACAGCATCTGAGTTCTCCCAGCTTTTGCTGCTGTGAAACTTTTCAATTTATCATTTTTAAAACACTTAAATCACCATGAAAGACTTTCTTAAGAAATCTCATTGTCTTTGTTTTACAAAAAGTAATTAATGAAATGAGTGTCCACTGTGGGCTAAAG